ATGCTTAGCATCGTGCATATTTCTGTTACCAAAGTATCGATCTTTTTTTGCTCCTCGATCGATTTCTTGAACGAATCGAATTCTTGTTTCAATAATTTTAATTCTTGTTTAACAAGTTCAATAGAATCATTCGAACCTTCTTTATAAACACGTAATACGTATTCATAATAATTTTGCGTTTCATTTATATAATCTAACTTTGAATAAGAAACTTTGTTTACATTTTCAACAACATCCAAAGTTATTTCTTTACCTTTCATCACTCCATCGTAATCTTCTTTTATCAATACTTTTACTCCATTTTGTTTCCATTTCACATCATCCCTCCGAACTTCTTCACTTCCAAAATAATATGCGATACACATTAATTGAAATTTCTTCCCATCATTAATATATTTACTATGTGAAATTCTATTAATTTGATATGGGTAAAATAATTGATTTAATCCTATTATAGGATTCTGAATTTCGTACTTGTCATTATTTTTATTTTTAATTTTGTTTTCCAATAGATACGAAAAATATTTTTGGATTTCTTTAAGAAAATCGATATTTGTATATTTATTTTTACCTTTATTTGCTAAATAATCGAAGGGTTTTTTATTTTTCTTTTCGTAATCATTAGTTTGGTTATAAATAACAACATTTCCTAAATGATTCCATGTTACTATATCTTTTGAAACATTAATATCACCTCCATTCTTGTAATAATTTATTATTAATTCTTGATATTTTTTAGGATTGGTAGTTAAATGTGATTTACAAATATAATATAATTTATGTACAAATAACATGTCTGAAAAACTAACTAATGGGTTTTCTGTTGAGTAATTCATCTTTCAATTGATGGAAAAACTATTTCTTGTCGAGGTTCTTTTTGATTAGGTTTGACTTCAGTATTTGATTCTTTGGTTTTCAGATAATCACAATACTCATTCACAGTATCAAAAAAGCTTTTTAAATATTTTTTTTTATATTTATCATTAAAAAAATCATAATAACTATTATAATATTTAAATTTATTAATATGATATAGTAATGAAGTTTGAAAAATCCTATCTAAATTTTTATCTGATGTTTTGTTATTCCATAAATCTATTAACACATCTTGAAATAAAGATTTTTCATATTTGCTATTATTAACCCATCTTAAAAAATATATCCTTTCCATATGTGTTATTTTATCAAAATCGATTAACAAATATTCTTTTTTATTTAAAGTAGTATAATATCTCTAGTAATTTGTAAGACCACTTCCAATATCGAATCGAGATCCATGTATACATTTTGAGTATAATTCGCCTGAAGCTTTTTGCAAATTGCTTTAACTTTAGTTTTTATCAATTCAAGATCTATATCTATAAGATTCTTTGATAAATAATTACAATAAATATCAATTATACCAGAGCGTTTTGATAACATTTCGTCACCTAATACAAATGTATTATCTTTTATAGATTTATATAATTTCATAATCAAATTAACAAGTTCTTCATGTTTATGTAGTTTTTTATCTTCATCATATCAAATTTCTTTGGTGTGATTGGTAAACACATCTAACTCTAATGGTTTGATTTTTCTATTAAAATAAAAAGTACTAATAAAACATTTTTGAAATGCTTTTTTAAAAATATCTGCCTTTCCTTCAACCATAATATTCA